AGTAGAGAAGGGGTTTCACCATGTTGACCAGGATGGTCTCGATCTCTTGACCTCGTGATCCACCCGCCTCGGCCTCCCAAAGTGCTGGGATTACAGGCTTGAGCCACCACGCCCGGCCCACAGCAATTCTTAAAACCACGCTTTTCACCAGGCACGGTAGTTCACGCTTGTAATCCCAGCACTTTGGGAGGCAGAAGTGGGTGGATCAAGAGGTCAGGAGTTCGAGACCAGCTTGACCAACACGGCGAAACCCCATCTCTACTAAAAATACAAAATTAGCCGGGCATGATGGTATGCACCTGTAATCCCAGCTACTGGAGAGGCTGAGGCAGAAGACTAGCTTGAACCCAGGAGGCGGAAGTTGCAGTGAGCTATCTTGCCATTGCACTCCAGCCTGGACAACAGAACATGACTCCATGTCAAAACAAAACAAAACATGCTTTTCTAAATTCTTGAAGTCTAGGTTGCTGGGATTTACCAAAGATAATAAAAAAGATACAAACTGCCAAATAAAACACTACATATAGGAAGTAGCGAGTTCCCTTTTCCCTAACTCAATGAACAGAAAATTACATTATGTGCTTACCTTATCTGGTGCATTTTTGCTTAACATTAAAGGAAAAACTCGTTCATGAAGCCAGTACTTGTGATTGTTGTTATTACAGCCATACAGGAAGATATTATTCTTACGACTGTGGCCATGGAAATCACAATACAACAGAACCTCTCTTTCTTCAAGAAGTCTATTGAGGGGGCAAACAAACGACTTAGTAGACACCCAAATGCACACAAATAATTAAGGATCATTTGGCATCTCTGCTGTAAGGACAGTTGTTGATACCTTCCCTCCTAAGAAAATCTCAACTCCAATGGTCTTCAATGGACCCTATCTCCATTCTCAGCCATTGCAGAAAACATGTCACCAGCCTGCCTTGTCAGTCAGAGGACTTGAAATGAAAAAAAATTTTTTTTCTTTTTTGAGACAAGGTCTTGCTCTGTTGCTCAGGCTGGAGTGTAGTGGCCTGACTGCCTCACTTTGCCTTAACCTCCTGGGCTCAAGTCATCCGCCCACCCCCACTATCCAAATACCTCTTGGTAGACCCCAGAGGGGATTATATCTCAACCTGAGATTTGGACAGGGAAAAATACCCAAACTATATCACCCTGTCTCTACCAAAAAAAAAAAAAAACAACAACAAAGGCCGGGCACGGCAGCTCACGCCTGTAATCCCAGCACTTTGGGAGGCCAAGACGGGTGGATCACAAGGTCAAGAGATTGAGACCATCCTGGTCAACATGGTGAAACCCCGTCTCTACTAAAAATACAAAAATTAGCTGGGCATGGTGGTGCACACCTGTAGTCCCAGCTACTCAGGAGGCTGAGGCAGGAGAACTGCTTGAACCCAGGAGATGGAGGTTGCGGTGAGCCGAGATTGTGCCACTGCACTCCAGCCTGGGTAACAAGAGCGAAACTCTGTCTCAAAAAAAAACAAAATACAAAAAACAAAAAACCCACAACAGCAATAACAAAAAAGAAAGCTTGGTGTACTGGCGTGTGCCTCTAGTCCCAGCTACTCCTGACCTCAAGTGATTCACCTGCCTTAGCCTCCCAAAGTGCTTGGATTACAGACATGAACCACCATGCCCTGCCAGGTATTTCTTTATAACAATGCAAGTACAACCTAATACACAGGTCTCACTATGTTCCCCAGGTTGGTCTCCAGCCCCTGGGCTCAAGTGATCCTCCCGCCTCAGCCTCTCAAAGTGCTGGGATTACAGGCATGAGTCACTGTGCCTGACCAGAAATGGCAATTTCTGGTGTGGAAGGGGGTGGTGGGTAGCCTTGTGTAAGTTGACAAGGAAGTGGAAAAAAACCTATTGAGAAAAAGCTCACCATGGTGCAGACCTGTGAAGAAAGAGAAGGAGACAAAGAATGGGCAGTTGCAGGAAAGAAAAAGAACCAAAGAAAGCCATGGTTCCTGACTTTTGAGGGCTCATTCCTACAAGGCTCAGCTCTTCTTTGTCTCATGATCACCCAGGACACCTATTCCAACTTTCTAAACATGTTCACTTTCTCCATGATGAGTATAATAACAACAATGCTACACATTTATAATGTGCCGCATACAACAGTAAACAGATCTTGTGATTATCTCAATCCTCACAGTTACCACCTAAGGCAGGTATTATTCCCATTCTACAGATAGGAAAGCTGAAGCTCAAACACATTAAATCACTTAGCCAAGGTCATAGAACCAACTAGCAGTAAAAACAGTCTCAAGCTGTAAAAACAAAAGTAAAAACAGTAAAAACGGAAGTCTCAAAGCAGTAAAAACAGCAGTCTCAAACTCAGGGCTGACTCTGAAACACGTGCTCTTAGCTATCATGCCTGCCATGGCGCAATCTCAGTTCACTGCAACGTCTGCCTCCCAGGTTCAAGTGAGTCCCCTGCATCAGCCTCGCAAGTAGCTGGGATTACAGGCACCCACTACCATGCCTGGCTAATTTTTGTATTTTTAGTAGAGACAGGGTTTCACCATGTTGGCTAGGCTGGTCTTGAACTCCAGATCTCAGGTGATCTGCCCGCCTTGTCCTCCCAAAGTGCTGGGATTACCAGTGTGAGCCACCATGCCGGGCTCACATATTCTTATATGCTGTATTTTCATTTCCAGTGGGATGAAAGCTCCTTCAATGTGGGCACTATTACATTATAGACTTCAATGCTTTTGTACAGGCTTGAAAACTGCTGACTGATTTGATGATTCTTTCTTTGTGATAGGCAATATAAGATGGTAAAAGGAATTTAGACTCTGGAACCAGAGAGCCTGTATTTAAATATCTACTCTTACTAGCATTATGACTTTAGGCAAGTTACTTAAACTATCCAGTTCTCAATTTTTTTTTTGAGACAGAGTCTCACTCTGTCACCCAGGCTGAAGTGCAGTGGTGCAATCTCCGCTCACTGTAACCCTTACCTCCCTGGTTCAAGTGATTCTCCCACCTCAGCCTCTTTAGTAGTTAGGATTACTGGCACCCCACTAATTACCGGCACGCTCGGCTAATTTATATATTCTTAGTAGAGGCTGAGTTTTGCCATGTTAGCCAGGCTGGTCTCGAACTCCTGACCCCAGGTGATCCACCCACCACAGCCTCCCAAAGTGCTGGGATTACAGGTGTGGGCCACCACGCCTAGCCTCGGTTCTCAATTTCTTTTTTTTTTTTTTTTTTTTGAGACGGAGTTTCGCTCTTGTTACCCAGGCTGGAGTGCAATGGCGCGATCTCGGCTCACCGCAACCTCCGCCTCCTGGGTTCAGGCAATTCTCCTGCCTCAGCCTCCTGAGTAGCTGGGATTACAGGCACGCACCACCATGCCCAGCTAATGTTTTGTATTTTTAGTAGAGACGGGGTTTCACCATGTTGACCAGGATGGTCTCCATCTCTTGACCTCGTGATCCACCCGCCTCGGCCTCCCAAAGTGCTGGGATTACAGGCTTGAGCCACCGCGCCCGGCCTAATGGTTCTCAATTTCTTTATCATACAACATGTGGTATTGACTGTGCCTACCTCACAGGGTTAATGTGAAGATTAAATGAGTCATGTGTGTAATGTACCTAGCATACACCTTGCCCCTTCATGTGTATGCACTTACTAATTTTTAGTACTATTAATACTACACAAATCTCATCATGAAGACCTAAGAACTCCCCTGACCTCTGACTGTTTCCATTCAATTATTTCACTTACAAGTGAAATGACTCTTGCTGAAATGTTCCATGCCCAGTTTCAACCTAAAGATGAGACACGATTTAAAAGTCTGAAAATTAAGAAAGTCACTTGACTACAAAGAGACTGGTAAGGGCTCTGTCTCCAAAGTCATACTCCATTCCTATAACAACAGAAGAGACCTCAAACCCCATCAGGTAGGGATATCCAGTGCTAGTACTCATAACAGTTACAGAAAGATCAACAGATAAGAAGTCTCACCTTTTGAAAAGAAAAAAGAAAAAAAGTCTCACCTTTTGATCATGTTCCTGGTGTACCAAATACAAGGGAAAGACTCCTTCAGAATGGTTTTATAATGCCTGTTCAAATCCCTTCCAGCCAAGGAGCACCGATAATTCCCCACAATCACACCATCTGGATTTAACATGGGAAGCACCTTGAAGACAAAAATATCTCTGAGGAGCTGGGCATCTGGGGAGTTGCTAAGGATGAAGTCCAAAAAGCCTTTCATAACCCAGGAGCCATTACTTTCCCCAGGGTGGACTCTGGCACTCAAGACCACAGCTTTTTTTGCAGCTGCTTCTTGAGGGGTCTGGGATGGGTTGGTGATGGTGAGCAGGTAAACGGTATTTCCTGCTAGGCTCCTGCATAAAGTTCGGAGCTTGCAGAACTGGGACTGGATGGGGTTGTTTGCCACTGACAGGAGGTAGCATTGCAAATCAGTGTACGTATATGGGTAGAAGTGTGCAAAGAAGCAAGTGTCCTGGTCATATGGAAACTGAATGGTCCATGTGAGACAGTAGAAGGGCTGCTGCCTATCATCCGTGTTGTTTTTGTAGTACTTGATTTCATTTCCTTCTCTCCTCCAGCCAATATTGCGGGTGTTGGCATCGAATTGGGAATACAAGAGTGGCTTCATTCCTACAGTATAAAGACTCTTGGGTTTTAGCAAGTTGACAATGGTGAAGCGATAGGTGGCGTCTTTTCTGGTGTTCTGAACACGAAAATAAAACCACTGAGTGTGTTTGTTTGTGTAGAGGTCGGTTCGCAAGGTAAGTTCATACTCATAGGTGTCTCTGTAATGGAGAAAATAGAACAATTCAGTAACCTTACACCCTGCCTTAAAAAACAAATTGGGAAAATGCTGTTTTCTCCTGGTAAAAACAGGTCTTATTACAACAGAAAAACCTGCTGCGTTAATCATTTATTCTCTGTATTCCCAGCACTTTGGGAGACTAAGGTTGGCAGATCACCTGAGGTCAGGAATTCAAGACCAGCCTGGCTGACATACTGAAACCCCATCACTACTAAAAATACAAAAAAAAAAAAAAAAATTAGCCAGGCTTGGTGTGGGCACCTATAATCCCAGCTACTCGGGAGGCTGAGGCAGGGGAATCACTTGAACCCTGGAGACCGAGGTTGCAGTGAGCTGAGACCACACTATTACACTCCAGCCTGGGCAACAAGAGCGAAACTCTGTCTCAAACAAACAAACAGGAGGTAAGCCAGTATGGTGACACACCCCTGAAGTCCCAGTTACTCCTGAGACAGGTGGGAAGATCATGTGAGATCAGGAGTTTGAGGCTGTAGTGTACAATGATTGTACCTGTGAATAGCCAGTGAACTCTAGCATGGGCAACATAGTGAGACACTGTCACTAAAAACAAATAAAATAAATAAGGAGGTATACTTGTGGTACTGCCATAGAAAAACACCTGAAATTTATGAAGTGGAAAAAAAAAACAATTTGACAATTTGCAAAATGATATGTACTTACCCCATTAACCAATTTTTACTTTAAAAAATATATGATTTATATATATTACACAAACACACACAGGAAAAAATTAAGGCACATATACCAAACTTAGTATTTGCTGCATCTGGCCAGGCGAGCTTGCTGATGCCTGTTATCCCAGAACTTTGGGAGGCCAAGGTGAGTGGATCACGAGGCCAGGAGATTGAGGCCAGCCTGGTCAACATGATGAAACCCCGTCTCTGCTAAAAATACAAAAATTAGGTCAGGCTCGGTGGCTCACGTCTGTAATCCCAGCACTGTGAGAGTCTGAGGTGGGTGGATCACAAGGTGAGGAGTTCCAGACCAGCCTGGCCAATGTGGTGAAACCCTGTCTCTACTAAAAATACAAAAAAAAAATTATCCGGGTGTGGTGGCAGGCACTTGTAATCCCAGCTACTCCGGAGGCTGAGGCAGAAGAATTGCTTGAACCTGGGAAGCGGAGGTTGCAGTGAGCCCAGATTGCACCACTGCACTCAAGCCTGGGAGATAGAGTAAGACTCTGTCTCAAAAAAAAAAAAAAATTAGCTGGGTGTGGTTGTGCGTGCCTGTTAAGTCCCAGCTAATCGGGAGGCTGAGGTGGGACAATCACTTGAACCAGGGAGTCGGAGGTTGCAGTGAGCCAAGATCATGCCACTGCACTCCAATCTGGTGAAAGGGCAAAAAAAAAAAAAATAATTTTGCTGCATCTAGGAAGTATTACTATAAGACTTTTTATGTTACATATTTTTACTAATACAAATTTTAGGTGAGTTCTCATTTCATTAATAAGCAAATAATTTAGAAAATATTTTGGGGAAAAAACATGAGTCATAATTACTCAATTTTTCTTCATCCCCATAACCATATCCCATCACTTCTTTCTTTTTTGCAAATACTCCTGATTCCTAATATCATTCCTGAAGGCTACCTTTTAGTCACTCCAATCATTATCCTTTTGGGAAACGGTTACTTACACTCTGACAGCTTTTTGCAGATTCCCACTCTCAAACCTTGATTCAAACAGTAGAGTATTATCTTCTGGTCCTTGCAACGTGACAGCAAGTTGCTTGATAATTCCTCGTTTGCCTCCCACTCTGGAACTGGTGAAATAGGAACCTTCTGTGGGCACTGTAGATAAAACAGACATATTTAGGCTAGGTTCTATTCAGAATCTACTCATTCAGCAAATACTTACTGAGCCCCTCTACATGGACAACACTATTCCAGATTAACAACAGTGAATTTTCTGATTTTCAACTATCTTTGTGGAGACTTTTAATTTTCAGTAAGTATTTCTTGGTCGGGCACAGTGGCTCACGCCTGTAATCCCAGCACTTTGGGAGGCCAAAGCAGGTGGATCACCTGAGGTCAGGAGTTTAAGAAGCCCCATCTCTACTAAAAATATAAAAATTCGCTGAGCATGGTGGCACAAGCCTGTAGTCCCAGCTACTTGGGAGGCTGAGGCAGGAGAATCGCTTGAACCTGGGAGGCAGAGGTTGCAGTGAGCCGAGATTATGCCATTGCACTCCAGCCTGGGCGACAAGTGTGAGACTTGGTCCCCACACCAAAAAAAAATATTTCTTTGAAGTCCTTAGGTGTTTTAAAGCACTTCTTCTTCTTCTTTTTTTTTTTGAGACCAAGTTTCACTCTGCCTCCCAGGATGGAGTGCAGTGGCACGATCTCCACTCACTGCAACCTCTGCCTCCCAGGCTCAAGCAATTCTGCCTCAGCCTCCCAAGTAGCTGGGACTACAGGCTTGTGCCACCACACACAGCTAATTTTTGTATTTTTAGTAGAGACGGGGTTTGCCATGTTGGCCAGGCTGGTCTTAAACTCCTGACCTTAGGAGATCTGCCCACCTCGGCCTCCCAAAGTGTTGGGATTACAGGCGTGAGCCACTGCGCCTGGCCCAAAGCACTTCCTTTTGCTTCACAGCAACCCTCAGCATTTCAGATACTGGTTGTGCCCATCTAAATGCTAATTTAAGAGGCTGGGCATGGTGGTTCATGCCCGTAATCCCAGCAATTTGGGGGCCCAGGCAGGCAGATCACTTGAGCTCAGGAGTTTGAGACCAGCCTAGGCACCATAGTAAAACCCTGTCTCTACTAAAAATATGAAAAATTGGCCGGGTGTGGTGGCACACGCCTGTGGTCCCAGCTACCTGGGACGCTGAGGTAGGAGGATCTCTTTAACCTGAGAGGCGGAGGTTGCAGTGAGGTGANGGCATGGTGGTTCATGCCCGTAATCCCAGCAATTTGGGGGCCCAGGCAGGCAGATCACTTGAGCTCAGGAGTTTGAGACCAGCCTAGGCACCATATGAAAAATTGGCCGGGTGTGGTGGCACACGCCTGTGGTCCCAGCTACCTGGGACGCTGAGGTAGGAGGATCTCTTTAACCTGAGAGGCGGAGGTTGCAGTGAGGTGAGATCATGCCACTGCACTCCAACCTGAGCAACAGAGTGAGATCCTGTCAAAAAACAAAACAAAACAAAACAAAACAAAGGGCTGGGCATGGTGGCTCATGCTGTAATCCCAGCACTTTGGGAGGCCGCGGTGAATGGATCATTTGAGGTCAGGAGTTCGAGACCAACCTGGTCAACATGGTAAAACCCTGTCTCTACTAAAAATACCAAATTAGCTAGGCGTGGTGGCACACACCTGTAATCCTAGATACTCAGGAGGCTGAAGCAGAAGAATCGCTTGAGCCTGGGAGGTGAAAGTTGTGACAGGCTGAGAATGTGCCACTGAGCTCCAACCTGGGTGACAAAGTAAACTCTGATTCAAAAAACAAACAAACAAAAAAAAAGAGAGAAAAGAAAACAAAGAAATAAATAAACCCTCATTTAAAAGGATGTTGGCCGGGCGTGGTGGCTCGTGCCTGTAATTCCAGCACTTTGGGAGGCCAAGGCAGGTGGATCATAAGGTCAAGAGATCGAGGCCATCCTGGCCAACATGGTGAAACCCCATCTCTACTAAAAATACAAAAATTAGCTGATGGTGCATCGTGTAATCCCAGCTACTCGGGAGCCTGAGGCAGGAAAATCACTTGAACCCAGAGGTGGAGGCTGCAGTGAGCCTTGATCGCACCACTGCAATCCGGCCTGGCAACAGAGCGAGACTCTATCTCAAAAAATTAATAAATACATAAAAAATTAAAAAATAAAAGGATGTGGAGGCCAGGCATGGTGGCTCATGCCTATAATCCCAACACTTTGAGAGGCTGAGGCAGGAGGAATGCTTGAGGCCAAGAGTTCAAGACCAGCCTGGGCATAATGGTGAGACCCTATCTCTACCAACAAATTTAAAAATTAGCCACGCATGGTGGCACAGGACTATAGTCTTAGCTATTCAGGAGGCTGAAGCAAGATGATCCCTTGAGCCCAGGAGTTTGAGGATACAATAAGCTATGATCCACCACTGTACTCTAGCCTGTGTAGCAGAGCAACACCCTATCTGTTTGTTATTTTTTGAGACAGAGTCATGCTCTGTTGCCAGTTTGCACGATCTCGGCTCACTGCAACCTCCACCTCCTGGCTTCAAGCAATTTTCCTGCCTCAGCCTCCTGAGCAGCTGGGACTACAGGTACCCACCACTGCACCTGGCTAAGTTTTGTATTTTAGCAACGATGAAGTTTCACCATGCTGGACAGGCTGATCTCGAACTCCCGACCTCAAGTGACTCGCCCACCTTCGCCTCCCAAAGTGCTGGGATTACAGGTGTGAACCACTGTGTCTGGCCTTTTTTTTTTTTTTTTTTTTTTTTTGAGATGGAGTTTTGCTCTTACTGCCCAGGCTGGAGTGCAATGGCGCAATCTTGGCTCACCGCAACCTCTACCTCCTGGGTTCAAGTAATTCTCCTGCCTCAGCCTCCTGAGTAGCTGGGACTACAGGCACGCGCCACCACACCTGGATAATTTTTGCATTTTTAGTAGAGAAGGGATTGCTCCATGTTGGTTGGGGTGGTCTCAAACTCCTGATCTCAGGTGATCTGCCTGCCTTGGCCTCCCATAGTGCTGGGATTACAGGTGTGAGCCACTAGGCCTGGCCAGGTTAATTTTTAAATATGGTATGAAGCAGGGATTCAACTTCATTCTTTTGAGTGTGGCTATACAGTTATCCCCACACTATTTGTTAAAGAGACCATTCTTTCCCCAGTGAACAGTCTTGGCACCCTTGTCAAAAATGAATTGACCAAAAATATATGAGTTTATTTTTGGACTCTCAGTTATATTTCAGTGATCTATATGCCTACCCCTATGCCAGGATTATACTGTTTGGATTCCTGTATGTTTGTAGTGTTTTGAAATTTAAAAATGTGAGTATTCCAATTTTGTACTTCTTTTTCTGTATTGGCTATTCAGGGCCCTTTACAATTCCATATAAATTTGAGAATAAGCTTTTCAATTTCTGCATAAAAGCTTTTTGGAAGTTGCTCTTTTAGGGCCGTTATAATTTAGATAGGGTCTGGGCATGGTGGCTCATGCCTGTAATCCCAGTACTTTGGGAGGTCAATGCAGGAGGATCACTTGAAACTTGAGGCCAGGAGTTCAAGACCACCCGGGAAACAGCAAGACCCTGTCTCCACAGAATTAAAAACAAACAAACAAACAACAACAACAACAACAACAAAAACGCCAGGCATAGTGGCAAACACCTGTAGTCCTAGCTACTCAGGAGGCTGAGGCAGGAGGATCCCTGAGCCTGAGGAGTCGAGGCTGCAGTGAGCCATG